ATAATCAAGGGCTAAGAAAAGAATGTAAGGATGAAAATAATTTACGGGTCAGATAATTGTCTAGTTGAAATTTACGAAGAAAAACGACAAACATAAAGGTCATAATAATAACTGATTACAGTTTGGAATTACAAAACACTAAATCAAAAAAATCGATGATAATAATAATAGAATAAAAAGTGAAAAAAACGAAACATTACGGATGGGAGTTAGGGCCAAGGAAGGATGAGATGTTGGACGTATCGTTTTTGCACGCAAAGTTCGGGCTTGAAATGCTGGATTGCCAATGCCTCAGCATTGATTAGAATTTGATTCGACTTTCCTTCGATCCAATTACTTTGCGTAGATTATTTTAAAAGATTCCTTTGGAGAGAAGTGTCCATGGGCGACTAAATGCTTCTGTATTGACAAATAATTGCGTAACCTCATTCGATAATAAGAGTCCCAAATCAATTTACGAAGCAATCTTTTCTATCCTTCTATAGACATATATTTTTCATATAACTATAAATATAAATGCACAGCTTAAGTGAATGATTTCGTCAAAAATAAAATTTTCTTCACTGAGTTCTCTTTATTTTTATTCAAATTAACTTTTCAAAGGTCAGTAGAATTCGTTAAGGCTTATGAAAATATTTTCGCGGTTTATAACACGATTGAGGAATTGCACAATATGATATTAGAAAAGGATGAGTAAAAGCACCGTTTGAATGATATATTATGCGCTTAGACAATACATCTCATTGTTAAAAAGACAGACGAGATAAATATCAGTCAGTTAGTAACAACGCAGAACTTCGTACGTACGTACATCAGTTCGGATTGCCATACCACATTAGCACAGAGACACAATTATCGATTCAAAACACATAGTGGTAGAGGTAGTAAGAGTATAAGCAGTAATCGGGAAGATTGTGGTTTGGAGATGTTATTTAAAGAGTATAAACCAATGAAATAAATTTGGAAAGAGAAAAAAGAGACAAGGAATAAGGAGATCAAAATTTGGGAGAACACAAAGAGTGTATGCACCTGCGTCATTGCAAACGATTTTGAGCCATTTCGTTCAGGGTCTCTAATCATCGGTTGCTATCATCGTGAGGTCCAAAACCAGGTAGTCTAAACCTACCAACATGACTCAGTCCACTTATCAGTGACTTCATGGACTTGTGCCATGTTTTGGTTTGGCCGTCCCTACCTTTAATCCAACGTACTCCTATAACACTGAACATCGCACGTCGAGACAGTCGGTCGTTCGGCATACGCATCACGTGTCCCAGCCATCTCAAATGATAAAGGCAAACCACTTCATCAATCGACCTTACATCCTTACCTAGCATCCGTTTCCTAACAACTGCGTTACTTACTCAACAGTCCCAGGATATACGAGCAATGTTTCGAAGACACCTATGATCAAATACTAGTAACCTACGAATATCCTCTACTCTTACCGGCCACGTTTCACTGCCATAAAGTAGGACGGAACGAACTGCTTCGCAGTAAACACGTCCTTTGGTTGGTATTGTTATAACATGAGTTATCACAGAACAGCAATCTCAGTAGAAAAGGTACTTTAAGCACAAGGCTGATGAGACTCCTAAGATAAGTGGAGCGATCGACACGCTCAACTACTTCACTCCCTATCATTAGTTCGGGTGTCGATACAACCCAATCCTGAAGCAACATTTTGCATTTCGAGGGGGAGAATCGCATCTCGAACCTGCTTGCATTGTTGCTTACAGTGGTCAGAAGACTCTGCATTTTGTCAGCGTCTTCACCAAATAGAACTATGTCATCAGTATATTTCAAGTCAACAAGTGAATCTCCTGGTAGAAGTTCAACCCCTGGAAATTTAGATGAAGAAAGTGTTATCTCTAAAAGTACGTCAATCACAAAGTTAAACAAGAATGGAGAAAGTGGACAGCCCTGACGAACACCACTTGAGGTAATCGATTCTGATGACAGTTCGCCATAAGCTCTCACTCGACCAGTTGTGCTCGAGTAGAGAGCCTTTACAAGGTAATGTACTCCTTTGGTACTCCTTTCAATGACAAACACTGCCATAGAACCTCACGATCAACAGAGTCGAATGCTGCTTTAAGGTCGAGAAATACTACGATTCTGAGGTGTCTGTGTTCTAAAACCTGACGTAGTGTGAATATCTGGTCTATACAACCAAGTCCAGGTCGAAAACCAGTCTGGTTTTCTCTAGTCTGTTCTTCACGAGCTATAATTAGGCGTCGAAGTATTATTGAAGCTAATATTTTAGACATTATATTAGTCAAACTGATTCCTCTGTGATTGTCACAAATGGACTTTTGTCCTTTATTATAGACTGGCACAATCAGTGGTTGAGACCTGTATAATCCCAGAAAACAAAATTTCATAACAGACGACGTATTACATAGAAATCGAAACACTGAGATTTTCGAACGAATTATGACTAAATCACTACACTTTAGCGTTTTTAAGAACAAATGATTATGTATTTGGTGGTACTCAAGTGAACGTTACCTTGAGTGATATAAGAAACGGGTAATTACTTCATGATATCTAAATCCATGTAAGTCTAGTCAACTATACGCCAACAGATAGAATGGAAACAAGCAATTATCGCTTTTTACGTAGTAACTTTCGAATGGTTTTATCAAGTTATAGATTCCATTCTTTTTATTGATACTTTGTTTTTCACGTTTTGATATTCATCGCTTCATGACTCGACAAATTAGTAATCAATATTTTTACCTTCATCCCTCAAACTGATGTAGATTTTGTGTATGGCTCTGTACATGCTATCGCCGACTTACATTAATAGTAATACGTTTATCACACTGTCGAATTTCGAAATGATTATGCTGGTTGTGCGATGTTTATACACTTCTTATGCAATATGGGGTATTTTTTATCATCTGATATGATTTGATGGTGTGACAGTGATATTATTATTTCACTTTGCAAACAGTTTATACTTCCTAGATCTTGAATAAATTTGTTATAAGATAATGCTTTCAAATAAAAGAAATTCATAGCTTCGTGATGTCGATGAATATGGAAGGGATTAACAGAGTAAAACTTTATTCATAAACCAGTTAGTCAGCAACAACGTAGAACTTCGTTCGTACGTACATTAGTACAGTATTTATTTTCTTTTCCAAAAATATTTAACTATTATGAACATAAATACGGTAAATCAGTCAGTCAGCCAGTAACAACGTAGAACTTCGTACGTACGTACATCAGTTCGAGTTGTCATACCATATTATCACACAGATACAATTGTCCATTCAAATCCCATAGTGGTAGAGGTAGTAAGAGTATAAGCATTGATCGGAAAGATTACGGTTTGAAGATGTTATTTAAGGACTATAATCTAGTGAAATAAATTTGGAAAGAGAAAAAAACAGGGACATGAAGAATTCAGAAGGTTAGAATTTGGAAGAACACAGAGAGTGGATGCACTTAAGCCATTGCAAACGATTTTGAGCCATGTCATTCAGGGTCTCTAACCATCGGTTGCTATCATCTCGTGGTCCCCAACCAGGTAGTCTAAACCTACCAACATGACTCAGTCCACTTGTCAATAACTTCATAGATTTGTGCCATATTTTTGTCTGACCGCCCTTAGCTTTCTTCCCACCTACTAATACACCATAAAATATCGCTCGTCGGGGCAGTCAGCTTTCGGGCATACATAACACATTTCCCAGCCATCTCACTAATTCATCAATTGATTTTCCATCCTTACCTAGCATCCGTTTCCTAACAACTGCGTTACTTACTCAACAGTCCCAGGATATACGAGCAATGTTTCGAAGACACCTATGATCAAATACTAGTAACCTACGAATATCCTCTACTCTTACCGGCCACGTTTCACTGCCATAAAGTAGGACGGAACGAACTGCTTCGCAGTAAACACGTCCTTTGGTTGGTATTGTTATAACATGAGTTATCACAGAACAGCAATCTCAGTAGAAAAGGTACTTTAAGCATTAGTTTGTGCAAGGATATGACAAGTTTAACTGATATTTACAGTGATAATGATGTACGGTTGGGTTCACTAAGCCATATATAAAGTCTTACAGTTAATATGCAGTAATAAAACACATATTGATGGGTTTGAGTTCGTAGTACTACTAAAAATAAGTTTGTTGAAGAATGTGTAGCTGAGCAAATGAAATGTCAATAGCGCTAACATATTTTAAACAAACTACAGTAAAAGATACAACTACACTGAAGCTCGATTTAATACTGAAAGCGTGTAATTAAGGACATCAGAACACACATAAAAAACACTAATTTATTTAGGATTTACAGTAAAACATATTATTTAAATAATTACTGTCAGTTACTAATAAATGGGGAAAAAAACTAAGGTTAAATAAAAGCTGCCTAGATCAGTTCAAAAATATCATTTGAGTAAAGAAGTTGAAGTAAATAATTAAGAAACAGATAGACGTACGTGAAACTACAGTATTATCCTGGTTAAAATGTTCATTAAAGTTATTCAATAATAAACACAGCCATTCGTTATTTACAACTTCACTTAGAAAGATATCAGTAAGTGCAATGAGAAGAACAACATTAACATTTCATCATATTTCTACTACAAGAGGAAAAACATGTACAATTGTTCTAAACCTGAGAAATAAATTAAAACCAAGCAAGTTACCGGTAGTAAATAATTTTTGTAGCAAAATGCTGCCATTGAATAAAATAAGTATTGTCTTATTTAACATTTACAATATTGGTTTTAATTTTTGAAAAAAATTGAAAATTCCTACTATTTCCATGGAAGCTATAAGTTGAATAAACTAAATTATCACTAAAAAAGACATACGATTATACATATACTGTAACAAAGTATATATATATATATATATATATATATATATATATATATACCATAATTGCTCTCCAGTATGCAGAATGATCTGACTATATACAGATTTACTTGTAATATATATATATATATATATATATATATATATATATATATAAAGTCACCCGGGATTATTGATTTTCGTTTTACGCCTATATACTGGCCCGCGTGAAGTCATATACCGTGTAACACTTAAACGTATACGTTCTTGAAGTCCATTTGAAAAAGTTGGTGGTGAAGTTAGTGATGATCGCTTTAGTTCCTTCGATACGAACGAATGAGTTAGCTGGAAAAGAGTTGAGATAATTTCTTTTTAATTGTCTAAAATATTACATGAATGTAACGAAAATCGAAAAAACAAATTAAGAATGATGTATTACAATGATATCAGCAATATATTTTGACTATCCCTTTACTGAAGATCATGTTCACCACAAATGAACATTAGTTTTAAAATGGGCAGATGTAAACAGAACATTAAGGACACTACAACTACGATGAGATAACAAATATATAAGTGAAATCCTGAAGAGTGATACGAATAGTGTCTAAATAGAAACTAAACTCATGGAAGAAATCTGACGGCATTTCTTGATGTACATCAAGTTGTTATTTGTTTATGAGTATTCCGTTGTAATTTTATTGGATGAGCGGTATTGACAATAAATATATAGCTCAAGATGAACATACACAAAATATAATAAACTTATTTTGACCATGGAAGGAACTGAATGTGTGCCAACGTAAGTACAGAAGGGAAGTTTAGAATATTCGTATTGACGAGCTGGACAATATGTTAAGAAAATTCTCACTTTCAAAAATACAGTTTTACGTTGTTGAGGAGTCGTAGTGGAAATGAAAAAGACTATGAGCCATCAAATACAGGTATACTCTCTTAATTTTACTTACAGGAAAACTCATTTGCATGTATTTCTTACATGAGATGTTTTGTCTTCTACATTTCGCAATTTCTCATTGCTATTTGAAATGCAAAACTTATGGAAGATGGGAAAATGAAGTAATTAGATATCAGCTTTAAGCCATGGACGTATATCATACATACATGTTACTAGATAATAAAAGAGTAATCCTACCTTTTTCGTTATATGCACAAAGTCTTCGCTTGAGTCTATACGACCAGTCAAACAATTGGGTAGTCTGTAGGGCTTCAGAAGACGCAAAATGTAATTTCCAACCTAAAGAGAATTAAACAGAAAATTTTGTCATCAAACTGATTCGACAAGATATTTGAAATGATCAGAAAACATAGAACACCAGAAAATTGATGTAGGTGACCATTTTGAAAGCTTAAATTAATTCAGTGTATGAAGTGTGATCTATCCCCTTAAAAAATTATAACGCAATTGATCCAAACAGTATGAATAAATACACGTAGGCTAGATTGAGAATATCTTGATGATACACAAATGGTTCACATACGGATTTATTATTTTGATCATCCCCTACAACATCAATTTAACAAATAATATTAATTTATATGTTCGACTTGGATCTATACCTCTTGTGGAAATCTAGTGATAATATCAGAATGACGGAAACAAAATATGAAAAATTTGAGTTTTAGATCAATTCAAATAATTCAATAAAAGTTCTGAAATCTTGGATAATAATAATGTGTGAGTAGAGTCACTGGTAACTGATATGAGGGATAAGTGTAGGACTAGCCACTTATATTTAAAGGTTAACTCACAATCGATTTCATGGGTGTGAACTTACGCGCGTTAGTAAGTAGAAGATTCACAAACAGAAAAAAATGTGATAGAACTCAGTGGGCAACCAACCTCATGAGTAAACTGTCTTTTCATCTGTCCATATTGCTCTTCAGTAAGGGTGTTTTTCTGAAAAACAAAACAATGGTATTTAAGGATTTAGAAAATGAATAGTTTTAGACTATTAAATTTGATGAAAAGCTCAATCAATTATCACATGAACTGTTTTTCTTACGTCATCTTTTTCATTGGAATTTATTAGTGGCTTCTCCCACTGAACACTATTGGTTTCTTTATTGTAATAATACAGTCGCCCACTCGAGTCAGCAGCTGATCTCCAGCCCGCAGGTAATGAGTTTAAGTCATCATCAGCATACCGTTTGAGTTCTTTACAAAGACGCGTAACCTATATCATTTTAAATATAAAAGTGTAGAAAAATATTTCAGAAATACATTCATGTAAGCGTGCAGATAAGTTCCTTTCTAAAGATTAAGATAAGTAGACAGAATTATGAGATTATTGATTACATGTAAAAGTTTTAGACCATTTAAGCACAAATTCAAGACACATATTTGAAAAGTTAGGAAAATTGTGAATTAAACCACATTAGAGAAAACAATAGTGAAGCTAAGAAAATGTTGTACAAGTAGATGAATTATTATTCCCTGAACACGTTAGTTAAAACATATAAAATTAATAGCACATCTTGAAACCTAAATTGAGGTCTACAGAAGATGATTTGTACAACAAAGTATCAAGATAGGGCCTATAAATGGTAAGAACGACTTTGTAGGAGGTTAGATGTGCATGAAATAAGAATAAAGTAAGAATCACTAGGAAGTTTAATTACAATAGAAACACACCTGTGGAAGATTACGTTTGATCAGTAATCGCGTCACAACTTATCATGAACAGAAATGAAAAGCAAAACGTGATGTTTGGTGACGCTTTAAACCGCTAAATTGCATATACTCTCTAGAAAACTGACAGAACAGCTATAATTTGGATAGAATGTGTGCTAACGCACAGGGAAACAATTTTTTGTGCTGAACTTCCATGGTGAAATCAAAGAGGAATCCCAACGATTAGCAACTCTAAGAAACATCACCGTTGATTTAAAAGAATGTTGTACCTCATAATACATGATATTATTACAATTCACTAAAACACTACCATTCTATAAAAAGTAGTCCTATAGTACAGAACTAACTAGCAAACTAAAGAAATCCATGATAAGAAATAACTATTGTCAGCCCTTAGGTACCAGGTCTCATTTAACACGAGACTCAGTGATTGGAAGTCAAGTGCTTAACAGAATACAAATAAGAAAACTGGTTCGATAGTTGTATAGCATAGGATTACCATTACTTGCAACTGTCTGCCCTCATGGAGGAGCTATTCATCCTTTTCATGTCTGCTTCTAATATCCAGTGAAGTATGTTCTTTGTTCTTCTTCTTCTTTCCCATTTCCCTTCAGGACTACATGTTAGCGATTGCCTCGTGATGTTGTTGGATGATTTCCGTCAATTATGTCCTATCCACCTCCAGCGCCATTTTCAAAATTGATCTTCATCTCAAAGCTGGTTTGTCCTCTCCTACAGTAGACTGTTGCTGATAGTATCCAACTAACACACACCGAGTGTCTGGCGTAAACAATTGTTTATAAATACCTACATATTTTGATAAAAGTTCTAGTAGTTCTCCAAGTCTCGGCCCGTACAATAGGACTGTCTCGACCTTTGTATTGAAGACTTTTGCTTTCATGTTGGCTGATGAACTAATTACTTCTATGAATTTGGTGTTTAACTTGTTCCGCTAATGAGATACAGCGACTTTGACCGATGCACTTATGTGCTTGTTCCTACGTTGGAACTGACTGACAGTTATTTTTAGTTCCATACGTTCTCCGGTTGTAAGAATTCTGCCCATGTTTTGCCAACCAGTGCCTTCTCATCTACATCAGATCCTCCTTGTTCATCAATTATGCTTCTCAGTCGCGTGAAAGCATCCATCTATTCCAATGCTTCTCCATCAAGTGTGATTTGGTTGAGTTTTTCATTCAGTTCAACAGAACCCTGTTGAAACTTTTACTGGTACTGATAGTAGTGCGATGCCTTTGTAGTTCTCACACTTGTTCAGATCTCCTTTCTCTGGTATCTTGGTGAGGTATCCTTCCTTCTAGTCTGTTGGCGCTTGTTCTTCTTCCAAATCTTTCTAAATAGAATATGAGGCATCTTTGCAGTTACTTCTGTGCTTGAATTCAGTGCTTCAGCTGGTATGTTGTCTGGTTCTGTTCTCTTCTCAATTTTGATTTGTTTGATGACCATCCTGCTTTATTTGATCGTTGACGGAGTGAAATCTATAGGAAGGTCTGTGTGTGTTGCTTCGATGTCCGGTGGATTCAGTGGAGCTGAAGTATTCAAGAGTTCGTGAAAGTGTTCTACCCATCTTTTCTTCTGTTCTTGAATTCCAGTAATTAGCTTCCCTTTTTTTCCATGACCGGTCTTTCTGGATTGCAATATTTCTCTGCCAGTTTCTTTGTTGTGTCGTATATTTGTTTCATACTTCCATCTCTTGCACCTTTTTAACTGTCGTTGCTAGGTCTCCCACATATTTCTGCTTGTCGGCTTTAATGCTCCTGCTCACTTGCTTGTTTGCTTCTGTGTATTCCGCGTGTGCTTTGACTTTCTCTGCTCGTGTTCGGCTGTTGTTAAACGCCGTCTTCTTGTTTTTCCTTTCTTTGATCTTGTCCAGTGTTTCTATGGAGATCCATTCCTTATGATGATGCTTCTTGCAACCCAGAACCTCCTGACACGTTGAAGTTAATGCTTCTTTGATTTCTTTCCAGTTGTCCTTCATAGTAGTTTCTTCCTCTTTCAGTAGATCATGTAAGGCTTGGAACCTATGGTTGAGAGTTATCTTGAATCCGTTGATTTTTTTCAGTATTTCGAAGGAAGGTTGTATTGGACCTACGCAATTCCGTTTCTCCAGTTGTCCATTGCTTATTTAACTTCAGTTTTACATTGACCTTCTGAATTTTTTATTGATGCAAATATGATCGACCTGGTCCTCTGTATCTGTTTAATGGGACTAACGTTACACAACAAGAAATATTTAGAGGATAACTCACCAAATCTGAATCGTTGGAACTGGACATCAAAGTCAACATACGAGGTAAGGCTTGTAACAAAGTAGAAACAACAGGCATGCTTTTCAATTCTACAGCTATGTTAGATAAAAGATTTGAAAGGGCAGTATCGTTTCGACCGCACTCACTTAAAAGTGCACAGAGTAATAGCTGAAACAATGAAAAGAACGAATACCAAATAACACGAACGTGAAATGATGCAAAGAGAATCAACCAAATATTACTGGTTTGTGATTTGCTATTTCTTAGCATGGTTTGTTTACAGCCTATAATTTTATCCCCGACCGAAGCTGCTACCTTGACGCGGTGGTCGGGCTTGCCTATCGTGATGACCCAACCGAGCTATATTGGCTGGAACATATGTTCCTGTAGGTTCTACCATGCCAGGCAGGTCGATTGGTGAACGGTAAGACTAAAAGCAGCAACTCAAGGTCTGAGGGCGAAGTCGTACTGCTGACTGTAGAGGGGTGTGACAGCAGTAAGGTGTTTCCCTCGGACAACCAGCATGACAGCGATGCTGCCTTCCCACAAGGAGGGGTGGGGTTAGAAAAGGTCGACCCTAAAAATGTCACACCTCACCTTACCTCACGGATTTCCGTCTCCGGCGGTAAGGCCCTTTGAAGAACGGAGCTAACACGTCAAAAACCTTCCACAAAAAGGCCGTGCGCGACCGGCCTCAAGCAGTTGTCCCTTGGGCTCTGCGGTCACGCTCCCAGGTCGTCAAGACCAACACTAATCCAATTTCCTTTTCAGGTTCCTCAAGAAATACCCTTCCACGGTGTGGGCAGCCGGGAAGTGACATCAGCCCTCATACCCGTAACAGCACAAGAGACCAAGGTGGTCACATTCAAATCCTTCCTACACCTCCTAATACCTCTCTTATCTCCATGACTAACCCTCCTCACGTCTCTTTATCACCTCGCACCGCTAGGGCAAACGATTCGAGTACGTGGAACGCCATTCCTGGTCTCCTGAAACCACGCTCTAAACTACACGTAGGAGCTTTTAACGTACGAACACTTTGCCAAATAGGACAGCAGGCTTCCTTAGCTAAACTTTAGAATCTCGCGCCATCGATGTGTGCTGCGTCTCCGAAACGCGCATACAGGATCCAAGTAGCGTCATTCATTTGACCTCACCATGCCAAAATAAAGAACCGACTCGATTTACGCTTCGTGTATCTGGAAGCCCTGATTCTGCTTCCCGTGGCCTCGCCGGCGTAGGTATAGCATTGAGTCCTAGGGCAGAACTAGCTCTCTTAGAGTGGATCCCAGTAGACAGTCGTTTGTGCGCTGTCCGACTGAACGGAACAGTAAGAATCCGGAAAGATAGGGACACTCGTCGTTGCCTCTTCGTCGTCTCTGCCTATTCTCCCACTGACTGCAGCTCAGATGATGTAAAAGATGAGTTTTACAGAAAGCTTTCGGACCTTCTCCGAAAAGCTAGGCGCTCGGATGTAGTAATAGTGGCCGGTGACTTTAATGCTCAAGTAGGTAAACTAAGCGATAGGGAAAGACACCTAGGTGGATCTTATGGTGTCGTGGCTCAAAGAACAGATAATGGCGACCGTCTGTTGCAGCTATGCTCAGATAACCGCCTGTTCCTTGCAAATACTAACTTTAAGCATAAGGAAAAACATCTTTTAACATGGCGACCCCCTAATTCGTCCCAACGTTGGACCCAAATAGATCACATCGCTATCAGCCACCGATGGAGGGGCTCGATAGAAGACTGTCGCTCATTCTGGAGCACATGCCTAGATTCAGATCATGCTCTAGTGCGAGCGCGTATTTGCTTGCGTCTTACTGGACGTAGGAAAGACGCTGCAAGGAAACCTCTTAGGGCCCACTTAATGATAGTCAAGCTAAGAGTATATTTCAGGAACAACTAGGAAAACAGTTAGGCAGCCATGTATGTGATGCCCACCCCGATGCAGCATGGAATGATATCCGAAAAGCTGTGGAAACAGCAGTGATATCTGCTAGTAAGGTAAACCAGAAGGTTAGGGAGCAACACTGGATCTCAGCAGCATCTATCGCACTGATAGATGCTCGGAAACTCATTCCACCTGGCTCTGAACATAATGAAGAGCGGAGTCAGCTTAAGCGCAAGCTGACAAGAAGTCTACGCAATGATCGCGAACAGTGGTGGGTAGCGAAAGCAAGAGAGATGGAAAAGGCAGCGGCAATAGGTAATAGCAGACAATTGTTCAGACTCGTTAAGGAAACCGGAATTAGGAACCCGACCGTTAGCGAAACAATCTCAGAGAAAGATGGACATATTATTCATTCTCAATCCAGGAGATTGGATCGATGTGGCCTTCAGCCACACTTCGGTTTCCCACGATCTCTAGTCAACCTGAATGGCAAGTTAATGTAGGTCCTCCGTCCCTTTACGAAGTTGAAAAAGCCATAGGAAATCTGAAACGAGGGAGAGCAGCAGGCCCTGACAGGTTTACTCCTGAGATTTTTAAGGATGGTGGTCCAGTATTAGCAATGAGATTAACCGAGGTCTTAGGTAGAATTTGGGAACTGGACGTAATCCCATCTGACTGGTCTCAATCACTGATTGTGCCAGTCTATAAGAAAGGACAAAAGTCCTCTTGTGACAATCACAGAGGAATCAGTTTGACTAATATAGTGTCTAAAATATTAGCTTCAATAATACTTCGACGCCTAATCAAGCTCGTGAAGAGCAGACTAGAGAAAACCAGGCCGGTTTTCGACCTGGACGTGGTTGTATAGATCAGATATTCACACTACGTCAGGTTCTAGAACACAGACACACATTCAGACGCCTCACAATGGTAGTATTTCTCGACCTTAAGGCGGCATTCGACTCTGTTGATCGTGAGGTTCTATGGCAGTGTTTGTCACTGAAAGGAGTACCAAAGAAGTACATTAACCTTATAAAGGCTCTCTACTCGAACACAACTGGTCGAGTGAGAGCTTATGGCGAACTGTCATCAGAATTGATTACCTCAAGTGGTGTTCGTCAGGGCTGTCCACTCTCCCCATTCTTGTTCAACTTTGTGATTGACGTACTTTTAGAGATAACACTCTCCTCATCTAAATTTCCAGGGGTTGAACTTCTACCAGGAGGTTCACTTGTTGACTTAGAATATGCTGATGACATAGTTTTATTTGGTGAAGACGCTGACAAAATGCAGAGTCTTCTGACCACTCTAAGCAACAATGCAAGCATGTTCGGGATGCGATTCTCCCCCTCGAAATGCAAAATGTTGCTTCAGGATTGGGTTGTATCGACACCCGAACTAATGATAGGGAGTGAAGTAGTTGAGCGTGTCGATCGCTCCACTTATCTTAGGAGTCTCATCAGCCTTGTGCTTAAAGTACCTTTTCTACTGAGATTGCTGTTCTGTGATAACTCATGTTATAACAATACCAACCAAAGGACGTGTTTACTGCGAAGCAGTTCGTTCCGTCCTACTTTATGGCAGTGAAACGTGGCCGGTAAGAGTAGAGGATATTCGTAGGTTACTAGTATTTGATCATAGGTGTCTTCGAAACATTGCTCGTATATCCTGGGACTGTTGAGTAAGTAACGCAGTTGTTAGGAAACGGATGCTAGGTAAGGATGGAAAATCAATTGATGAATTAGTGAGATGGCTGGGAAATGTGTTATGTATGCCCGAAAGCTGACTGCCCCGACGAGCGATATTTTATGGTGTATTAGTAGGTGGGAAGAAAGCTAAGGGCGGTCAGACAAAAATATGGCACAAATCTATGAAGTTATTGACAAGTGGACTGAGTCATGTTGGTAGGTTTAGACTACCTGGTTGGGGACCACGAGATGATAGCAACCGATGGTTAGAGACCCTGAATGACATGGCTCAAAATCGTTTGCAATGGCTTAAGTGCATCCACTCTCTGTGTTCTTCCAAATTCTAACCTTCTGAATTCTTCATGTCCCTGTTTTTTCTCTTTCCAAATTTATTTCACTAGATTATAGTCCTTAAATAACATCTTCAAACCGTAATCTTTCCGATCAATGCTTATACTCTTACTACCTCTACCACTATGGGATTTGAATGGACAATTGTATCTGTGTGATAATATGGTATGACAACTCGAACTGATGTACGTACGTACGAAGTTCTACGTTGTTACTGACTGACTATAATTTTATCACTAAATTTTTATGGACATAACACAATGTATCTAACCCTAAATGTTTTTAGTTGTGAAGTGAAAATCAAATGTCACGAAATCATTTAATATTCTAGAAATACCACTCTGAGTTGTCTCGTTTACAAGAGAGTCGATGTATGAGATAATTTTTTAATATTATAATATATTGAATATTTTTAGTACTAATTTACGGATTATTTTTAATTATAATTTTGTTGTTTGATTATTAAGCAACTGGGTTACTATCTTTATGTACTCATGCCTTCAAAATTTGTTGACATTCTATTACTTAAATTTACCCTATTCATAGCCTCTTTTCGCCCGTTTATGTATAATTTTTCATTTTATGACGTGATGCGGCTGGTATGTCCGTATATAAACTACGTTTGTTTGAAGCATATAAAGTAGAAGCTGTTGACTGACTTTTGGACCTAAGGAAGGTAAAGAGAGAAGTTTGCGAGATGTGGACCAATGGAAAGTTAGTTGTATCAGTTCACGATCAAAATTGCTCGTGAGGTATGTAGCTGATCAAATCGAAGACAATAAGCTGTGCAAGAAGTGGTAGGAGCGAAACAGACAAAAACGAGAATCAGGAATCTGACTGATGACATGGCATGTGATATCAGTCCGCGGTCTCGAGACATAACGTTTTATGTTCGTAAATTTGCCATCAACTGATCAGACACTATGTGAAGACCATAAGACTAATAGTAATAAACATTTCATGGAAGTAGTATTCTAGAAAAAACAAATCTTAGATTTTGATTTTATCACAGAAGTTTGGGAGCAGCCATCATATTGACTGGAAAAGTAATACTAAAATACGATAGGATTAAACAAAACAAAATGATAAATTAATATTGATCAGGAAATTAATTGTTGGCTGTTACAAACAATATATTTGGATTTGATAAAATGTTGTAGAAAAATGGAATCATAAGTAAATAAAGGTAAGAAACAAGCAAAAAAATTACCTGACGAAGATGATCTGTATCCTTTTCGTCATTAGATGGATTTGTCTGCACAAAATCATCCGATGTAGGAACAGAATTTTCAGATGAACATTGATTTTCATTAGCTTTAACTTGAGCTTCGAAAAGCATACGTCTCTCAGCTTTGGACAAACATGACGAACTGTTGGATGCTTTTGGACCATTCTGCTCTCGAATGAAAGATGAAACCAGTTTGTCACGCAGACTTGAGAAAGAACAAAAACAGGGAACTAATTATAGTATTGCAGAAAGTGCTCATTATTTCATGAAATCGGGATAGATAGTATAAAATCATGTGTACCTTATTTCGACAGGAAGCTTTTAAAAAAACTATAAAGTATAAAATAAGAAACACTGTATAATGCTTACTGATCGGAAGTGGTACATTTGAAGACGTGAATCTTCCTCAAACAACAACAATCCAGCAAAGACTAGTTAAGATAAAAGAGTGATAGTAGGTTTAATTAAATTTAAGTGCTTTACTGACTGATTCGAACGGCAAACAGTTGGTATCCTGTCACTGTTCTGGAATTATTTAATATGGGAAAACGCATAGGTAATCAATGAATGGAGAGTAGATAATCGTGTTTAAACTTACGTTTTATTTGACTGGAATTTACTGCTACTATTCTGAGTCCAAGATTTATTGGATATTGCTTGTTCATCTGATAAACCAAACAATAAAAATAACTGACCAATTAACGAAACAATATTTAGTTGTTATAACTTTATGATCAATGTTAAAATACGGTGTAGTCGAATTTCAGATTGTTTATTGAGTCACACATTTGTTTACGAGTCTACAGCTATCATAAACTCAGCTAACATTTCATTTAAACCTCCTTTCGATATTGTTATTTGAATCGTTTTTACCTACACATTCTTAGAAATCTGATATTCACACAAAGAAAAAGTAAAGCATTACAATAAGCAGTCATGTGTAGTTATGATTGTTGTGAATGTGCAATGCTGAAGAATCCCAAACTAGGACGAAGCAGTTGTCCAGTGCTTCCTCGTTCTTAATAGTAATCTAAAATCGGTCTGTGATGCAAACCATAAAAATGTACGTCTTCATAAAGCCCCTATATCAAAACTTTTTTTCGGTCTAAGCAATCCCTAACTATGGTTTTACATAAAAGCAACTTCAGTTTTTAATAGTTCTATGAAATGAACAGAAACATTTAGTTCCAAACAGTACCGACCTTTGTATTCCGATCCCCAAGAGATAAGAGAAGAACCAATTGGATTTGATATATGAAGCATTTTCTCGGTCTCTTGACGCTCCAATCGCGGTATCCGGTAGTTTTCCTTCTATCATAACACACAGAAACATATAAATGGCATTATAATAAAAACAAATTCGAAGTAAATGATGATAATGAAATATATAACCAGTAAATCCTATAGATTTTAAAGAACTTACCGGTAATTTAGACCATTTTTCAAGCAGTCTACAAGCCAAAGCCTTGATCTCTTCTATCCATTCCTCATTCGTCTTAGCTTTACATTCTTCAGTATCCATATTTATTTCGTTGTTGTCGGCTGCATATCCGATTTCAATTTCACCATTATCATCATCCACAACAGTTACGGGGGACATATCACAATCAGAAGTTTGAATGATAGCGTTAAATCCTTCTTCGTAAACTGGGAGTGTCGAAGCATGCAACACACATGATGCATTCTCCTTCAAGGAAGAACTAAATGAGTCGGAACTCGAAGGTGATGCAGCAAAATCACTATTTTTATCACCTGTTTGTATCGAAGATGATTCATTGTCCTTGGTACTCTTAGAAACTGAAACATGAAAAGTAAATATTGTAAATCTTAGAATGAAAGTAGATCATCTCACAAGAAATTACATTATGGTGAATTTGTGCACTTAGATTTTTATGAGAAACAAAAGCCACAGAATCTATAAAAAAAATTTTCAGTATTAAGAGAAACAGTAGAAAAAACACAAGTGAACAGCTTCCGTAATTAGTAAGACCGAAGCTGCGCATGATACATTATGACATCAAAAGTTCCTAAACCTTTGAAAATGATGTATCGAATTCCCAACATTTATACATAAATGAGCTGCATATGTCAAGTTAGTTAACAAACAAGCAATGAAAACTGAATCCAATATTCAAACCTTTGGTGTAGTGGACAGTCTCTGACCAGGGTTTATTCCAAGTATTTTAAACAAACGTTTTAGTGTATTCAATGATAATAATTCATTAGTGTTAAAAGTTAATAAATATCCGTTTATAGTGTTAGCCGGAAAAGGTTTAAAACGTTTTATCCATCCAGCAATAAATAGATCTTCAAGACATCTAGAAAAATAAAGAACTACGTGACATCTCGTTTGGAATATTACTTATATGGTTATGAAAATCAATGAATAAATCCCACTTCCCGTGAATAGATTAACCATTGAAGCAAAGCTTTAAATGATATCTTGCGCCTTTCCCCTACTGTTTGGGTTCAAATGTGGAAGTAATCTGAGATACATGGGGCGTCAAGGGAGTTAGTAACAAGCGTTTAAGTACGGAAAAATAGAGCTAGCATCCTCGTATTGATGAGTAATTAGTCAGTTAAACAAAGGAGAGTATATACATCGATTTACCATAGCGATAAAGAGTTTGTGAGAATAGTGTGTAGTGAAGATTAACATGAGAAATAATGATGTCCGATGAAGTACCATAATAAGTGGCCTAAATTTAAGAGAAAATACAATCTGTAATTAATTTGTATCAAGTTTCAACGTGAAACAAAACATTGGACGAGAAGGAACGGAACAAAGTAATAGCTGAAAGAAGGACGGATCTCAGTGATAAACACCGAGTTTAGATAAAATACGTGAAAAGTAATTCCTATTTACATTACAATCGAAAATCTCTATAACCCTAAGTAGGGGTGTTTTTAAAGCGTCAATATTATAGAACTACACGGAAATGTCTCAAAATCTTGACTTTCACAAAGAGCAATATTAATTTCATTAGCACTACTAAAAGTACAACTATACAGGTTGTACAACATAAATACATCTGTAACTTCATTCACAATTCGTTCTTCGTTTTAATATTATGGCATCTATTTCACCCTACTCATCAAGTGTTCAGTTAGAATGGCATGAATAAACCGACAAGCCGCCAAATCTAAAGACCAAGAATATATTCTCCTACTGGACATTCTGAAGCAAACGCAAAAGCGCTTTGTGAATGTCTCCGGAATTCTGATGAAAAGAAAGACCAAATTCACCATAGTTTGTATTTTAACAGACGGAATGTTAGTTGAGAATAATATGTTCGTAAAGGATCGTTAGAAATCTTATGTTAAAGTTCGCATCTGTAATAGCAAGAATTACTAGTTTTTGAGTATGGTATTTGTTATCATCAAATTAATAAACCTAATACGATCGGTAAGCGATATAATTCATACCCAAAAGCTATCTAACTGACAGGGGGAATATGGGTGATCATGAGAAACATATGCCGAACTACTAGCTATCACTAAGTGGCTAGCCACTGCTGGTTGAGGAGAACTCAATATAGACTTGGTCTGTGAACTGGGTACTGTTGTAAATTGTGCAAACAACTGGTTAAACTAGAAATCATTTTACTATTTGTTTTTTGGTTTTTCGTGATGTTCTTGTGTTGATCTCTCTGAAGAACAGAAAATGGTGGTAAGCTGAAACAAAATATGACAATCTGTCCTTTTTACTGTTTGATATGAACAGATTATAAAACTATGGATTCAAATATATTATTTCCACTTAGATAAAATATGAAAATGAACTTTTTAACAAATAAATTGCCAATTTAATCATCCAACATACGTGATTTTGTTTCATCAGAGTCGAAATTCGACTCCATAGGGAGTTCATCAGTGGAAAATCTAACCAAAGTAACATTTGAAGTATCTAAAAGCAAAGTTCAGCAGTTTGAGCAACTTTACCTGCTATATGTACGTCAGCACTCTTCCACGACTCGGGAGGAATACTACGTGCCCGACAGTGGTGAGGATTGGAAGTCCACTGTGCTACTATTTCCATAAGGCGTGAATTCGACTGTACCTGTTTTTGCTCTGAAACAGGGATGTGTTTCAAGCAAACTAATATCTAGAAAGAAATAGATTTGCAAACATACATGAGATTTTCATTTTGTTAACGTATAAAATATATCGAAGCGCAAGCAAATAAAGTGATAATAAGCGAAATGCATGTGAAAGTAGCGCGTATGCACATATTATAATGAACGAGAACATAGGTGGGGACAACCGACTGTATTTAAATACAGAATCTCTTGGTAAAATATTAGAACCATACACTAAATACTTCACTTGAAAATTTTCATCATTTATCCTTCAAATTATGTATGATTCTTTCAGCCCACAATTCCTTTCTATTTTCCCTTCTATTCTCTTCAACTCGATCTTCTCAGCCTTCTGCTGCCAGGTTTTTCGCTTCCAACTGGTGTTACATACTGCTTATATTTGTCGACATAAGTAGCATACACCGAAATACAAGCAAATTTGTTATTTATATGAACTAAGTGAATTGAAAATTAACCACCACACTGGAAATTACCATGTGTAGGTATGAGACGGAAAAGTTTTAAGACACAAAGAGATACCTCAGTAGTTTAACAAAACATTTCGCACAAAGAAAAACAATTTTTCCATATACCTGCTTTTTGAGTTCCCAATCTTTCGGCGCTGCATCACACATAAAGGCCGCCAACATATCGAGACCATTATACTGTCGAAAAAGTTTAAGACAAGCATCGTTTTCTGTTTTAATCAGACGGCTGAGAAGCTGCAGTCGAGTGTACCTTGTAAGGCATTCTTGAACCATAACTTGTAATAACAGAGTTATATCGTCTGCATTTCTGAACGAATCTAATTGAAGGAGTTGGAGAATGCGTCTTTCAACCTAGAGGTAAAATGAATTTAGCAAAGGAATATGTCAACTGTGATAGATCCACTACAATTAGTAGAATGGGATAAAACGATTTCCAAATCCAAATCACGTCACGTAAGCAGTTGAAAATTAATTCTCAACTTTTTATTTGATATTCTTGTAAATAATGCAACTAATTTAACTAAATAAAAAATCCGTGTACTAGGCTATAAGCCATACTCTTTGTGAGGATAATTATTCGATTTGGGTGCACAAACCGGAGATAGGACGAGGTTCGGACCAGCGAATTAGGGATTGGAAGTCGAATGCTATAAGCAACTAACTGATCTTTGTGGTAAATAATTTGGGAACTGAGCATGTTGTTTCCTGCAGCAACATTAAAGGAACCTAAAGTAATAGAATGGATGAGGTACTCAGGATAGTCTAATCCTATCCTACTTGTTTTTGTACAAGCTTTTGAAGATGTTAGCAAATATATCGAACAGAAACCTATTTAGCCAGTGACTTCACTGCATAGTTTAAGTCAACTGGTCGATGGTAGTGTGATGGAAGCAATTCACAAGACTACTCGTACATACTGTGTAGTGGAACGTGGTGTCGAAGTTATCAAAGTCGTCAGACGGAGAGAAGAGTTTCAGTGCACCAAAATCACGGTGTAGGCAGAACACTTGATGACCAGGAGAGAAGACAGTTCGGGTTGAAGAACACACCGCAAGATGCAGATGGATGACCAGAGGTTATGCATACATACAGTGTAATTTCTTACAATAAAAATCCCTTTTGTTCATTGCCTTGTTTTACAGTAGCACTAACAAGATTAAAGACATTTACTATTGATCAGCAACACATGTGAAAGTGTTCGGGGACTTATGGAAAGATAAACACGACCAATCCATACAAGATGTAAGCAAACCTCAACTTGTTTTCCAACTTCTTATCAAAACTTCTTTTACGACAAATTTGTCTTCAGTTACCAATATTTTGTTCCATATTTTGGAAGATAGATATTAAGACAGCATTATTCTAGAATTCAATCGGCTCCTTGATCGTATATATATAACTGGCAGGTTGTTACGACCTATATTTCTTACGGCAAATTCAAACACGCAGACTCATGTTAACGGAGTGGGGAAGATCAGCCGGGTGCAGGTTTTCTTAACTCGATACTTGGTAAACTTTATCAGTGAAGGTACATTATGTGGGATCTTTCATTAGATCTATCCAAGATATGATTCATAAAAGCACTAAATGATGACAAGAAATTAACTCAGCAATAACTCAGCCCAATGAAACATTCGATTCAGTTACCCACGTGAATGATACAACTGGTTTTGACGAAACATCGACAAGATAAAAATATAAATCGCTTGAGACGCTAAATTACTTACTGAACTTATGATGAAGATAATAGTATAGAATCATGCACAACACACGCGAGTGCTGCAACAAAACATAGAGTTATTTGTGTCATATTACCTCCTTGAGTAGCACTGGGAAATTGTCCGTTAGTTTTTTGTGTATTTTTGTTAGTCCGAAGGAGTAGTATCTAACTTACAAATCCTAACCTGAAGCTACGGTTGCAAGATTATCATATAACTACTTAATCGCTCAAAACCTAAGTCACTGGTAACTGTGGTTCGAATTATGACACATTGAGTGGCAATAAGAATATTTTGCTAAGCCTTATCTCAATTCAAACGTGTACTTATGTCATGATAATTGATACTTGAAAAAAGGACGCCTAAGAACAGGTAGTATAAGGTCGAAAATGAGGAAAACTTAAGTCATCGTATTGATATTTTACTGCAAAATGTCTAGCTTTCAATTTTGCTCAGAAGTCAGTAACAAGACGACGAGTTTTCTATCCCAAACTGACTATGCATTTTTGACTGTTTCAAACTGGATTTGTTTCGCCATTTAGGACAAATTTAACTGCTGTCAGTTACGAAGTGTTGGCGATAAAAGTAGATAAAAAGAAATCACAAAAAGATACATTGCACGCACTAACAATCCATGACATACCATTGTAGTGTCTTTCATGCGAACTTTTTCTTGCAAATATTTGCTGGTCGCCCCCATTACACCAGAGCAGGTAGACGCACCACAATAACACTTTTGTTCAGAAACCCTGAATTTTACAAAACAATAAACAAAAATATAGAACGAATAAGTTCAAAAGTCAATATAGTGGTGAAAGAACAGATTTTGTTAAATGCGTCTTATTGGATGTTAATAAATTTACCTCATCCAATCATTTAAACTTGCCCCAAGAAGAATGGATACGATTGTTCGCTTAGATTTTTTTAATGTGAAGTGAGTTCAACCTGAATAAACATTGGTTTGAGTCAAAAAGGAACAAAATAAGTATTTTATAGTTAGTCGAATGGTGCCAGTTAATTTTACGAAACGGAAGAGTTGGAATTAAAAATCGGATTATGTATAATACCTAATAAGACGTATCTGTATATTTGTTTCAATTTGGGCAAAATTGGTCTCGAAGCTCGTGAGTATGCATTTGTGAATATAGGATAATAATATAACATCACCTTCTGACCTTAAACGAACATAATCTTACCAGGTTGCACACTGAAATCGGGATTTTAAGAATCACTCGTTATTTTATTGTCTACGAGCTCTTACGGTAAGCATACTTTAATACAGCTTATTTACTGAGTATAGGTTTACGCATTAAAATCTGAGCCATGATATGGATATATAGCACCACCTCCCAGACTGAAGTAGGATAGAGTTCTTTGTAAAAATCTGAACTTCAATAAAGACATTTCGGTACCTGGGATATATTTGGGTGAAACCATAGAAACATTTTATATAAAATTTCCTAAAAGCTGTGTGTAAGAATAAGTCTTAATTTTCGACCTAGTCACAGAGTAACTATAAAGCAAACGTAGTTTAGTATGATTATATAGTCACAGCTGATCCAAGCATGTAGGTTTAAATAAAAGCCTTTAAACCTCAATATTTCATGTACTTATTTTCAATTGCCGAGTGGCAGATTCCAACATTTTGCATACCGTCAAGAAATTCATGTAGTATTACTAACAGCGGGTTGATTTATAGACCTAAATTTAGCTGAATTGAGATACACTAATTGGGATTTTGTTCGGTTATTTGAATACATGACATCACTGGGATAAAACAAACTATGAACAGAGATTGTAGTGTGGCGTCGAGTCGCGGTTGACTATGATCACCACTACAGGAAGACTACGTGCCAGTTAACCGACAAGATCCCCCGTAAGTCAAATATCAGAAGGCAGTTGATGGCTGTAGTCGAGATGTATTTGCTGGCTATCTCGTGGTATCGAAAGAATACTGAGATCGTGCCAGGTTACAAGTGTGGTTACTGAGCGTAACCGAATTTGCGCAATGTCACAATCAACGGAAGGAAGAGTCTTTAGTACAGTTAAACAAACAAGTACAGTAAAACAATCACTGGTACAATTGGTTATAATAATAATTGTTTCCATTAAACCAATCGCGTTCTCTTGATAAAAGTAGGTCACTGCAAGATCATGAATGTCTAGAGAGAATCCGGGCTAAGGACCTTCTGTGACTGTGTTTGATCATCGTTATCTCCGAATAAACTGTCAGCATTTAGAGGTAACACCATGTTAGTAATGCAGAGGTTCGGATATCTGTGTTCGGGGGTGGTGACAACAGCCCAATTAGTTTCGTCATGTTGAAATACTGGCTCCAGTGGTTTGAATATGTACTTCAAATGTCTTCCAAGCGACTTCCACATCGTGCTTTGTTTCGTGACACTGGGTTCGGTTAGCGAGAGCGGAGGAATGATCAGTTTATGACACGCTGCTGAGGTATGAAAAAACATTGTATAAGACTGTAATCCATTGGTGCAAATTAATGTCTTGAGATATTATTAGACATAGCTCAGTCCTGTTGTAATTTGGTTTCACTTCTGGAAAACAAGAGGGACTTCTGTAACTAAAAGTAGTATTTCGGAATATTTTTTCACATGTACTGTTTTTCCTGTTCACTCACTTATTCACTTAATTGTTTTTTGATCATATTAACCCTCCATTGTCTATCTTTACACGACTTCATTCACTTATTTGTGTGGCAAAGATTTATTTTAGTGCCCGTTTTCATCAATATTTGTATTTAAATAAACAAACAAAACCTAATTCAATTTATTAAATTCCGACTTTCTATTGAAAATGTCTATACGTTCCTCCTTAATTCGAAAAAGTTATAGGCAGAACAACCAGGAATTTTCATCAATTTAGTCAAGTTACTGGATTTTAGATTTAGACATTTAGAACACTAGAATCATTTTAGGACACGTTAGACGACAAACCAACCAATATCGTTCAGAAAACACTCAACTATAATCAGCAGTTACCTGAGTAAGCATCTATCGAAAACTAACCACTGACACGTGAAACGTTATTGCTTCAAGGAACACACCAATATCACCAGTAGTTAATACCACTATTTGTGTGGATAGAATCCAAAGTCCTATCTATCAGCTGAAGTTTATCATTTTTAAATGATAAAATACGAATTAGATTCATTTAGATACTCATTACAATCATTTAGACTGTTTCCCAGCACAATCATTTTGACACGTAATTACAAGCTAGACACCTGGTAAATAAACATAACTGAATATTAAACACATATTAAGAATCTCAAGGTTTATAGATAGTCAGTGCTGTTAAAAGTACTATTAACAAAACTGGTTTTGTTTTAACATCTACACAAAGTTGTTACATTTAATCAAACTTCTAGGTTTAACGCAATTTTATTCTGAAAACACATTACACAACACATACCCATACTGGACAAACTGATAATCTATGGTTACTTCCTGACCAGATGGGATATCTTCTTTAGCAAAAAATCCAATGCGTATTTCACCATCCACACTCCACTAAGAAATAAAAACAAAGATAATAAAATACCGTAAGTAGGTGCTAATGGGCAAGTTGTTTTCCAGGTATTACGATAGTACTACGAATAACTATAACGAACAACTTATTGAACTTTAAATGTATGAACTATCGATTAACTAATTAGTTTAAAACTTATCAAACATTCAAGATGATTATTTATTTACCTTTTGAGTAACACAGTTGGGTTCGCATGAGTGATTTACGAATCTTGCCCAATTGCCTTTACTACCAGCATCGATGAATCTATCTGACTCCACAGCCATAAAGTAGTGATGAGCGTGACCCAGGCGTTCGTACCGACGAATACGTCGACGAAATTCAGAAAAGTCAATTACTTCTCCCACATATTCAATTACAAAAGATCCTCTACAAATAAAAAAGTTCCAATGTAGTGTATTGCATCAACTTACTTCTCGACGTTATCTGTTGCCATCAGTCCCCACCCTTTGTCTTTACCCGCATAAAAGGGTCTTGTCGGAGCGTAAAGCCTCATCTGGAACTGACGATTACTACAAAAATCACCAGCAGCGCAATGCGGTCCGCACTCAATATTCAGAGCACGGTTGATACAACCAGGACCACAGGAAAGTATGCCTAGATCAAGTTCCACTGGAGTAGGAGCGACGCAATCACAAATCCATTGTCGCATCTCATAGTGTAATGAACTAGCACGCAATCCAGATGCCCCAAGAAGCTTACCACTCCCCGAGTATGTTGACTTACTGGGAATCGATGAACGGGTCGAACTCAAAAGACTGTAGTCATTGTTCAACAAGTGAGTGTATTGTGGAATAGGTGCCCCAGGATACGAAGAAAAAATGCTGCTAAGATCAACATCATAACTGTGGGACAGAAACAAAAGGATATTTATGGAAGTCTTTTTGAATCAACAAAAAAGTCAATTCAGTAATTCTAGCAATTGTCATTTAGTTATCAACTAATCTTATCAGCAACTCGAATGGTAAACTTATCAGAATTAATATTAAGAATATTCAATAGAGCTTTAGGAAACAATGGATCCAAGAAATGGCCACCTACGCAGTTATTCTCATAAGGATTAAAATTAACAGATACACCTGGAACAAAGTAAGGGTCTAAAAAACTGATTTCTGAATATTGTTATTAATCACAAGCAGGTTTAAGATAGCAGTGATATGGTAACAGATTTGTTCTGTTAGACCTAACGAATGAAACCAAACAATTTTTGAAAGGCATTAGAATTAGCGATTCGGATAATAAAACGCTAAGCTTAGATATATAAGCTCTCATCACACTCAACTTTTAAGAAAGGTGGGATCACTTTCGGATTCTACGAACCTTCACAAAAGACCTAGAGTACAAAATCCAAAATGCTGTCAATAGAAACAACACACCATTTGGGAGCAGGCAAACCATGTGGTTCACATTAATGTAGCTAATATTGTTGAAAGCAGAGAAATTCATTAGTAAGACGTGAGAACGAGAATCCACCGGGTTTTTGTCGATGACCATTTACAGTAAAATAATTTTCCAACGCTGTGTTTCCTACAAATCCCGAGTCCCTTGAGTTTTATTTCTCTTGACAAAATGAAAACTAACCACACTAACTACAATAAGCTAGACGACAACTGACAAGTTTGTCCTCAATAAACACCGTACAGGGTAAATACATTTGGCTGCCTGAACGACTGCCTATGGACTGATAAGTGCAAACGACCATATTGTACGGTAAAACAATTGAATGAGCACATTTTGATTGAGCTTGGATTTTAAAAATGCCTGGAAGTTAGGGAGTAATTACGATAACCGGTAACCTAAACTACCTGAGAAATATTAGTTAAAAGGCTACGTGGAACACCAACGAGAACAGTTAAATCTTCATGGTGCAGAACTTGGGATGCTTTACGAACTGGTACAAATAATTACGCTTGTAACGTACAAGTCTTATTTCGAACAAAACATCAGACGAAACCAAACTATGCTTGTTCTGCGTAAACGCGCTAGACGTCTGAGTAGACAATGTGGGCGGCAATCGTTAAACGCTATTTCAGATCATTATTAACCTTGTAGGATGTAATTTTGTTGCTAAAATAATCAAAATGAGCATCTTTAAGTTGCAATTAAGTAGACTTACTCGGATAACCTTTCATACGGATTGAGAGTGTTGGACAGAAAACACATCGGGATATGAGGCTTAGTCTTCCGTTTCCGCAGGTCGTATTTCGATTCGCATGGCCTAATGTCCTGTGTACTGACAACTGTTAGTGGTGTACCATCTACGTGTTCAACAATTTCAGAGCACTGGATATCTAACACATCCAGGTCTCTAGCAGGTTGTGACTGGATGCCATCAGTCACCTCACACATTTTTTGAACACCTTGCATATCCAAATGCTGGGATGACTCGTTGATGGAACTAGGTTCACTTGAAACATGAGAAAATAAGTCAGGAACTGAGATGGGTTCAAGGACGTCATTGACAGTGACGATAAACTCACCCCCAGGACAGCTCTGAGCATTATCAACTTCTACATTATGTGGACAGACTGTGTCCAACTCCACATTCGACTCCGACTCCATGACATAGCTATCCACCGGCTGAACTTCCATACAATTTGGTATATTGTTAGGTGGAGATGGTAGTGGTATTTCATCTACAAAACAAAAGGTAATTTCCAGACATTCGAATAAAATCTGTTAGGGAAACCCTAAGAAATAATCTTAGCGGAAGGACCAAGATTCATACGACTACACAGCAACCACTGCGAGTGGTGGCTAAGACTAACGAGTGCTAGACTCCACCTAAACTGAAATCACAAACTACCAACACAAACGAGTAAACAAATGACAGATCACCCGCAATGAAACTGTGTCAAACTTATAAACTCGATAAACGAAACACCCCAAGAGATATCGCCAAAGAATAACAACCTCACTCTGACAGGATTTCTTAAAAAACCACAGCTGAGAAACAAAATTTATTGCCAAAATGTACAAGGTTTAAAAATACAGCTGAAAATTACACTCAGCGCTTTGTAGACTGATGTTACTTGACCTAAACGGAAAGTGTACACACAGGTTCAGATGTAATTAAATCAACACTCAAGAAGACAAAAAGTTGATCTGTCATGAAACCTCAAGTGCGTAGATACAAAGTACTGAATGATTTGTATGGATAGCAGTTTACTTAATTGTTAGAGGGAACTGTGACAATTTCATTAGTAGTTCCAAAACTCAACGTAGCGACTAAGCCTTACCTATATTCACACTTTTGGATGGATGGAGTGACTGTGACGTCCGTTTTTGAGATTTCATATTACTCACTTGTCGTTCATTCCGAATAACCTCACTGTGTCGACGTTTAACCTCACTGGTAGAATGATTAGTTCCATGTTGACTTGAGTCGGAATCCGTCGAGCTACTATTGCTCGACTGTTCATGCTTAATGGAAATAAGCTTTCTAGAAGGAGACTGATTTTCGCTGTTTGATGATGAATTAGGGCTACTATTCGAGGGATCATCACTATCAGTTTGTTCTGATGATTGTCTGTAACCCAGTTTTGGATGGGTCTTACGGTAAACATCTTCAAGTGTACCAGTAATACGTGAAGTTAATTTCTGCGTCTGAACGTATTGCACATTATCAGATTCCCGCTTAACATCAGAATCTACTTTTTCTGTAAGGCTCTTGACGATGGGTCGAGCAATTGCACTTTTTGTGCTAGTCTTGCTTTTTTTAACATACGATGATCGTCAGTTTTGTCACACACTTTCTTTTTTTTTTCTGGAGTGCCTGAGCGATGATAAGATCTCTTTGTCTCTTCTAAGTGTGAATTTTTGTGGTCTAGTTTTTTCTGAGAAGTAGGGAACTTTTTTCTGTCTGAGTCCCGTTTTCCTATGCTTTCAGCAGCTTCTAATTTTCTTTTGTGATTAATACTGCGTTTCCTACTACCTTTAAGGTGACCGTGATCAGTAGATGAACGGTGACGCTCTTTAGAGTTCTGATATGACCGCGATCTGTGGCGAGTACGGCTAGAGCGGTGCACTGAATTCGATGAGCTAGATGAGTGACGACGTCGTGAGTGTCGATTTCCACTAGACCTTCTAGAACGAGACCGTCTGTGTGACCTAGGATACTTGTGGGAATGTGATCTTGATCGACGACGACCATTTTTACTCTTCGGCGTCTCCTCATTCTGTTGAGACTGATTCGCAACGGCCGGATTAGCTATCAACGGAGTAGCAATCATCTGCGCAGATCTAAACTTCTGGGGGTTAACAAACTGCATTCCAGCAGTTGGGGGTATCGACGCCTGAACAAGAGTGGGATCAGTTGCATGAGCATGGATCAAATTTCGAGTGGCAACGATCGGTACAGAGTGGTGAAGCGGTTGGATATTTAAACTCATTAAATTTGGTATTGGAGAGGCTTTCAATGGTAAATTTGTTCCAGGAATATGTGCTTTATTCGCAATGTTATTACTAAGTACCATAGACTTGTCAACTGTACCGGATAGGATCAGTTGTCCAGAACTGATCATAGAACTAGTGGACTGAAGATCACTGGATTCACAAGATGGAACAGAATGAGGATGAGACAGTAAACCTTTGGTGTGATCTGAAGTAGAACTTAAAGTCTCACTTTCTTTAGTTGGTAGAAATAAATCGGTCTTCACCTCAGTAGCAGGCAATTTGTTTTTTGCAGGTAAGACACCGACAGGAAGTTGAGAAGGCTTTGACCTTTTCATCATCGCTTGGAGTTTAGGCATGGCTTTAGGCTCTTCAACTTTTACATCCTTAGATGATTCGAAAACCCCGGATGATTCTGTAGGCACATCTGAACCTGGTAAAGACTTGGTAGACTTTCGCATACTAAATTTTAGAGGTCCTAAAGACTCCATTGTGTCAGACTTTGGGAGATAAGACAAACGAGGATAAACGGCGGTCCTTTATCTTCTACATTTTCAACTGTTAGATTGAGGTTTGGTAAGGGAATGTCAGAAGCTTCTATCTTGGCAGCCGGCGGTAGTGGAATATTACATACATCACTGACACTCTTTGGTATAGGAGCATTAATTGGCCCTAAGAATTAGTTAATTATGGATTTCGCTATAAATATCACATACTTGGTAGTGGAATAGCTGATAAATCAAGCGACGGAGAACAATCCTCTAACTCACTAAATCAGATTTTTGTATACAAAAACAAACGAACTTACTCCGTTGGTGAAGCCGGGTCATACTCCATCAAGATATATCAGCTGTGTGAAACTAATACGGTACAATCCCACCAGAATACAACCAAGGACGTTCAATGCTGTATTTAAGCGCTTTTTATTACCGGTGCAAGTTAAAACAAGTTTCAACTCCGGAAATTAGGTTAGCAGATTGTCTTATAAATATTGTATTTCGCAATAAAGATATCCATTTGTTCCCAACTAAATTGTCTTTCGAACGAGGCTCCGCCATGTATACAGCAAATTAAATCATATAATACCATATGTAATACATGTAGAAGAGATATTTGGTTCAAGAAGAAGTTGGAATTCTTATAATAATGACGTGCCGTCTCTTTAATTTTTGCCTTGGTTAACGATATGACCTTAGTAATATTATTCATTCTCTAAGTATTACACAAAATATATCTCCCCTGACTTTGAGACCAATATTCTGCCTTCATAAATGAAATAAAACTTGGGTATCTCGAAGGAACATAATGAATTATAAGGCAATATATGTAACGAACTCAATTTGTTTGACGAAAGTCTTAAGGATGTTTCGCATATCTTGTATTTACTACATGAAAGTCAGTGATTCCGTGCCAATTTCTGTAGTCACCAAGATTTAGTGTGAAGTAGAAAAGTAATTGATTGACCGGAAACTCCAAGTTCAGGTAAGGCAGAGTCTCAATGACCCCATCATATTTCGAAATATTATACATACGAATACCAACCTAGCCGTCTGTGTTAAGTGAACTTTTGTTTTAAATGACATTGCAAGTTTTCGTCTTTCCCAATTATAAGTAGTTTCGATAGTGCTCGTATGACAAAAAATCGTCGTGCACACTTTACCGAATTTCAGAGTTTTGTCTTAGAAAACTGGCAAGTGTCATAGGACGTAGCTAGTAAGTGGTATCCATAGGTAAGATAAAAACTGTTTACTTATTTATCACCACTGTTGTTGTGTGAGACACTACACCATGCCATTTTTTCAAAAAATAGGTCTTTTATGGTGCTAACCACTATTTATCTCATATTTGGTTGAAGATACTGCTATTTTGCGCGCCTATTTAACTGGTTCAGTTATACCAATCGTCTCGGTAATATGACAGATTTTATTACTATTGTTAGTCGTGATGCATCACCAATTCTTTCGACTTTATACTAGTAATTTTCACGACGATTTTCCTAAATGGTTGGATATATTCAGTCTTCATCAATTTATTCGGGCTTGGCTACGATTACTGAAGAAATATTTTCATCTTGTTGCGTGACAACAATCCACAAGAATTCAGCTCAGTATGAGCCGTAACGCCCACATGCTGTACTTCAACTAAACAGATATTGTTGACGAATAACTCAAAAAAGTTGCAGAATATCGGAAATTTGTTGTAAAACCACCTAGAAACCAGACATAATAACGATGGCTGGGATAAACACCGTTACAATACTTCGTTTACAAATGTTTACAAATTCTTAAGCATTCTGCGTGCCATACTTCGTTTAGTGTTAGCACTACATGAATTTAACGATCCTTGATTCAGTTTAACTAGGTTTTCTGCTGTTAGGTTTTGCCTTTCCAAGTTACTGCCCAAATTATCTGACAATACTTGAAGGATTATAGGACAAAGATGAACAGCGGAAGAGGCGATTGGTAATGCTGGATCGGTTGATACACAGTGGGGCTCTTAAACTGAGTATACCTGAATATCAAAGTTGGTCTACACTCTGAGACTCCAAATTAGTACCGTTCGCTTCAAACGCTAACGCGTTGTCCACTTAGCTACTGATTTCTGGTAGCCACTTGCTTGTGAACTAAAGCAATATCGAGGCAATAAGCATAGTATGCATTTATGCAAATAAGAGACTGATCAATCGCAGTCCCAAACATCAATATGAAGATTCAAGTACACAATACCAAGTGAACTGTCGATAACGTACAGCAGATCCTCTCGAAGCTAACGTCAATTCAAATAGCTTTAATCCTGGCTGTGAGCCTAACTGTCGAGTCTACACTACAAATGGCGGTACACTACACAATCAACCTGCACAAGATTTTTTGGAAAACGCTTCCGCTGGCATGATGAGGTATACAACAAACGCTATTTCAAACCACACGCAAAATATAAACTTGCTTCTCCCGTGCAACCTTAATCGAAAATATGCCTAACCCTCTCTTCTGGTTAATCAAAACAACTTGAATAGTTCATTTGATGTATCACCCTGTAACACTGATTATCTTGAGAATTTTATCGACGAAACATGCTACCAAACTACCAATGTTATTGCACAGGTTGAACACATTTAGGCTTGGGGTAGAATAATATATATAATGTGAATAGAGACTAGTTACACAAAATGACCAGGGCTGCAACGCCGATCCATACCGAAAAACAGTTGCCGCGTTCACCATCTTTGATCGTCCCTCACAATTACATATTGAATGTAATCTTTTTCAGTAATTATATGATTTGCTTCACAGACCGTGTGGGAAAAAATCAATAACTTTATGACCTAACTTGAAAATAGGAGACAAGGAGGAGTTGCTGACCAGCAAAGATTGACGATGAGTGTGATGATTCCAATCCAACCATGATTATGGAGCAAGACATATTGTTGCCTTATTTCGAGCGAATTTATCCTTCAGGTCGAAATATTGCCATTGTTAATCTGAACATGGGAACATGTCTATGATTTGAATCAGCCGCAGGAGGCAAATAGTTATTTACCACGCGTTCCCAGAGGTAGTATGTACCGAATCGACTTATCAGACCAACAACGTTGGGTAAGTAGCGAATAGTAATAAATTTATCTTAAAGTTTCTCACTGTTCCAGCTAGTGGCTACTGATAGTCTTGGGCAAGGGCACACTGTTATGTATGCTCTTTGCAGGGAAAAGACATAATGTGCAGTACGTATGATACACTCACTTTCGTTATGGATTCGGCGGCGACCGAAATTTCAGCGGTATAGTCTACGCACACTCACGCCAACAAAGTACTGTGTTCATTCCATGTCTTAAGAGCATTCTTCAGGAGGGTAAGTGTTAGCTGTACAAATTATTTTCCGTAGTTCCGAAATCCTGATGTACGCAAATGCTTGGAACACGTTGTAAAGACTAGGCTGTCTGACATGTCAGCTTCGCTCTTCATAACGCATTAAATTCAGATTCACTCAAAAGTACGAACATCTAAGAACCCATTTTTCACGTACACGATTTGCTTGTAAGCGTTTCAATGACTAAATGCTGCCCTGTGGTCATATTTTGTATGTACATTCTAAAGGTCTAATTCGTGGAGGTAAGTGTGTTCCTTTGTCTCTATAAGCATTGTAGACTTAATACGACATAGCAGCCGGTGAACAAGGAGTGGTTATCTGCTAGAGAAGTTCACTAACAACTACCACTCAATTCATGCTCTTAGTGAACCTTTGGCAAGTAAACTCATCCGTTCATGCCTCGAAGCATCGGAAGATATACGAGCACAAGTGATGAGTTCAGTCGGTACTAATGATGAAGTTACATCGTCAGAATCCATTGTTAACACTGACCATAGCCATGCTTCTTGACAACAAGAAGTTCTAATATTGCTATCTTTTTAGTTTTACATAAATTCATTTATATGGCCATTAATTTGTCTCTATAGCGCTACGGCAAGGACAGTGTACTGTGCAGTCATAAGTGGCTGTGAGACAGGATTTTTGGTTCACGTTCTTGTGTAATAATTACCAGTTTGGCGCACACGCGATTAGTCACACAGACTGTTTACCAAATACTACAACCTTGAACATTTTGTACTATACTACTAGGTCGAACTTCGACCTGTCACGATAAATAAGCATTGCCGTAATTGAAAGACTGATGCGTTATAAATGAGAACATTTATTTAACTTTAAGTCCAACACAAATAATCCATCAATGAATAACTTCCAGTTCTTAAGAATTGTTCCTGTAAGGTCTGTGAACACTTGCGCAGCCAGCTGGAAATAACATAGACAAGAAATAATTATTTCAGTATAAATGTTTACCAGAAGCTAATATAAAAACAGAAACCGGTATTCAATTACAGGTCGAAATTGCATTTAGCCCACCCTTTCTTTGGATGGTCAATCACGCTTATTTGCTTTACCTCTTGCGTTGCTTAGGAAAGCTTGGGTCGTAACACACATGGCTTGTATTATTTAGTTCTTTGGACAAGTTGCACTTTGAAAATGTAGACAATAAACATATATAAAGACTACTATGTGAGCCCAATTTGAATCGTCCTGTGTAATCTGTAATTACTGATGTCTACTTTAATTTAGTCCCACTTAAGGTATAAGTAATTGTCAGATCCCGCATCAGCACGTAAGCAAGACAGGCCTTGGTTGATTTTCGAAGATCATCACATAGGATCTCAGATAATCTGGTCATCTGAGATTAAGATATCTTGACTATCAAATCGTACATTTCAATGCTTTCACGTAACGGCTTTATAATAGTACTTATTTCTGTTATTAGCTATCCTTGCAAGAAAACCTGCAGACTAAACACTGTAATTCTGTATAAGAGGTAGTGAAGCTATGTTAGCTTAGTCTCTGGTAAAATCTTCACACAATTCTACCTCTTTCACACGAGCCTGATTCATTCCTGGAATATAATAATTTGGTGGTTTGTATATCTTACTGTAGATGATATTAACATATT